CATCAAAACTAATTCAGAAAAAAACAGAAAACATGAATAGGAGCATTAAAGAATCAGTAGTTAAAAATCAACTCACCAAAACAAATTTTAAAAACAATATTTAAATTAAAAATTAAATTAAAAATTAAATAAACAAATTGAAAAAACAAAATTTAAATTAACCAATAAATCTCACCAGGCCCAGACAGTTTTATAGGTACAGTCTGCCAAATATTGAAGGAACTGATAAACCTGATCTTAACTATTTCAGAGATTAGAAAAGACTCTCCTCACCTCATTTTGTTAGAACAGCAAAACCTTTACACCAAAAGCAGATAAAACATAGATGCAAAAATACTAAACAAAATAGCAGCTATCCCAAACTGGCAAGGCATGTAAAAATATGTACCAAGGGCACCTGGGTGGCGGTCAGTTAAGCGTCTGTCTTCAGCTCTGGTCATGATCCCAGGGTCCTGGGATGGAGCCCCCCATTAGGATTCCTGCACAGCCGGGGAGTCTGCTTCTCCCTCTATCCCTCCTCCTTGCTCGTGATCTCTCTCTCTCTCACACACTCTCTCTTAAATAAATAAAATCTTTAAAAAAAATGTTTAAAAAAAATTTGTACCAAGATCAGCTTCAGAACTGATTTGTTCCAGTGATGCATGATTAGTTTAAGTTTAGAAGAATTTTCAGTATCTCTCCCCCGACAAGAAAAGAATAAATGGGAAAAACCATGCAATTATCTTTATAGACACAAAAGAAAATATTTGCTAAAATTTAACTTTCACACAAGATAAAAATTCTAAACAAACTATAAATAGAAGGGAACCTCCTTAAGCTTACAGAGCCTATCTAACAAACACAGCAAATATTATAAACCTAATTAAGTGTATGTGTGAAGAAAGACCTATAATGAAAACATGCTGACACTAACAAAAGCAATTAATTTGTTCATTTTCAAGTCTTTATTGAAGGTCTGTTATGTGCCTGGCATTGTGAAAAAATTTCAAAAAAAAAGTAAGAAAAAGAAATATACCATGATGATACTTAAAAGTCAAATGTAGAAACTTCCCCTTAAAATCAGGAAGGAATTCAAGAAGGTGTGCTATTGCCATTTCTATTTAACCTTCAGAACATAGTACAAGAAAAAAGAAATTAAATAATTAAAGGCATGCAAAAAAGTAAACAGGCTCATTATTTCCAGATGATATGACTGACTGTCTACAAAGGAAATCAAAGAGAAGTGATCAACAAAATATTAGAACTAATGAGAATTTGGCAAGGCTTCTAAATATAAAAGACAACAATAAAAATTAGTTACAACATTAAATATCAGCAACAAAGTTTGAAGACATCATAAGTATTTCACTTATAATATCTACAAAATGTGGGCTACCTAGGACATTTAAGAAGAAAATTACATTAAAAAAAATTAAAAGACATTAAAGAGGTCATGAGCAAGTGGAGAGTTCTATGATGGTCATGAATGGAATACCAATTCTCATGAAATGGCTCTATCAATTCAGTTTAAATTCATTTTTTTTTTTAAAGATTTTATTTATTTGACAGAGAGAGAGAGAGACACAGCGAGAGAGGGAACACAAGCAGGGGGAGTGGGAGAGGGAGAAGCAGGCTTCCCGAGGACCAGGGAGCCCGATGCGGGGCTCCATCCCAGGACCCTGGGACCATGATCTGAGCCGAAGGCAGATGTTTAACAACTGAGCCACCCAGGTGCCCCTCATAATTATTATATTTTTTAAGATTTTATTTATTTATTTGACAAAGAGAGAGACACAGCGAGAGAGGGAACACAAGCAGGGGGAGTGGGAGAGGGAGAAGCAGGCTTCCTGCTGAGCAGGGAGCCCAATGCCGGGCTGGATCCCAGGGCCCGGGGATCATGACCTGAGCCGAAGGCAGATGCTTAACGACTGAGCTACCCAGGTGCCCCAACTATTCTCATTATTGAAGAAAATCTCCATAAACAATTCATGATCCATGAAACCATTAACCTTTGAAAGAAAAATAATTTAACAGTTGCTTCTATTACAATACACTGTTTTGCAGTGTATTGTAATAGATAACTGCATTATCCTTATCACACATTTTATAGTTAATATAACTTTGTATATTAAAGGAAACCTCTAGGGGCGCCTGGGTGGCTCAGTCGTTAAGCGTCTGCCTTCAGCTCAGGTCATGATCCCAGGACCCTGGGATCGAGCCCCACATCGGGCTCCCTGCTCTGAGGGAAGCCTGTTTCTCCCTCTCCCACTCCCCCTGCTTGTGTTCCCTCTCTCGCTGTGTCTCTGTCAAATAAATAAATAAAATCTTAAAAAAAATAAATAAAGGAAACCTCTATAAAATGTTGAGAATCCAATGACTAACTAAAACTATTATGTGCTTGTAATTTAAATTTTTATCAGCACAGTTTTATCCACTGATAAAAGCCAGGAAGGAAAACACATAACCTTTTATTTTATACCTTCATCCTAGCACTGAATGAATCTGATATTCATTCTCATACAATGACCTGACCTTGAATTTTTTGCTGAGGTCAAGAACACAGCGACTACACTAGGAAGTCCAGAGCATACCCCAACGGAAGAGAGAAGGAAAATAACTGTCTACCATCAGTTCCCTGAATCCTATTCTGGGTTTATACTGTGATCAATGAATATGGGTTGTGAGGCTTGTTTAGAGCACCTGTGTTTGGTAGAAACAAGACTGTCTTCTCCAGTCTTAAGTGTATTAGGTCATATGGAGCTGTGCCTTTCTATGTTCTATACCTCTTTATAAATCTATTTGATGTTCTCTTCTTTATCATCTATTCCAATTATTTGTTTGCATACATCCTCTACACAGTATTGGTATTGGACATGAAATGGTTATATGAATATGTCCTTGAGCTACCAGGGCTGGTGATCCTTGCTCATCCAGGAAGCATCATGGCACTGTGAAATGGAGGTATCCTTTTTTTTTAGTTTGGACTCAAATCAAGAAGTGGCTTTCCTACCTAAGGAAGAGAAATATAATCCTTCCTATTGCCTAAGAACAGTGACAACTGGCAGAGGGAACACAGATGGGGACAGATGGCTTAGACTAGAGAGACATCTCCAGAGTCAATGGACATATGCCATTTCTGGATTACCATTTTACATCTCTAGCCATATAGGGATCACAAATACTTAGCTGTCCAAGGCAAATACAGCTGTAACTAGAGATATCTGAGAAAGACAGCTATGCAGGCCAAATGGAGTAACATTAATACCAAGGATACACATCATTCTCATAGCTCACTCAGTCACTCTAGAAAGGACACATCAACCGTATTTTGAAGATGTTCTCAGCTTTAGCTTTCAAAGATCATCTGGAGGAAAAAAGATCTTAAGATAAAATCCTGGTGAAAGAGTTAGTGCTTTATAATCTCTTATAGCTCACATGCTCTGCCTCCTATCTGGGATTTGAATTACAAGGATTTTAATCACCCATAAACTAAGCAGAGCTTAGTTTGTTCATGTAAATGTAAACTTGCTTATGTAAGGCCACAGAGAAGCTTAAATTAAAAACCAAAGCTTAACTAATGAAGTAATTTCTCTATTGCATTAGTTTGTTCATGAATCATACAGTGAGACTGATAGGGGATAATAAATGCACATTATTGATTCCATACATACCTGAAAAATTCCAAGTAGGATTAATTTCATAAGAGTAATACAATCCCATCAAACAACTTTTATGACAGGTTTTGAGTTTATCTTTATTTAGGAAGTGATTCATCTAGGGTCTCTTCACATAAAGGTAGTTACACTAATATATGGAATTAATAAGTAAATGCTACTTAATGATTTCCCTCCAATCCTACCCTTTTCAAGGTATTTGTTTACGAGTGTATTTTTTCACACTGAATTTTTATTAATTCATAATAAACAAAATTTCTATAATACATTTGACTTAATTATATATAAGTTTGTAGACACAAATATTTCAGAGAAAAAGATACAAAAAGTAGATTGTATTTGAAAAGGAAAGCATGCTGGGTAGTTTGAATAATTTTCCAGGAAAAAAATCAGGGTGGAATAGGTTTTATAAAAAAGGGTTTTTTATTTCTTTTAAAAATAAACCCGACTTACTGTAATCAAGACACTAAACAATTAACTCAATACTTCACTTGATTTACCTTTTACAGAATTATTTTTATGGTAACTTGCAATTAAAATCAGAGATTAGAATTCTTTTAAATTTTGCCAACAATGGACTCAGGAAAATTTGCTGAACTTTTTTTTTTCCCCCCAGAATGGGGAAAAACAATAACTCTATAAATGTCATGGTGGCCAGTTAGGAATATTCTATATATCCAAGTAAATAGGAGAACGTCTACTTAAAAGATTAAAGATTAGGAAAGGAACTCTAAAATTAATGCAATAACTTTTCTGGTTGGACAAACAAATGATCAAAGAAATTTCCATGACATATTTTGGGTTAAAGGGGTTTTTCTTTTCACTGACAAAACAATTATGTAGATTTTAGATTTTTCTTAATAAGGAAAACAAAATTTTACACATTAGACTCTATCCTGTCATATATATGATCTTATTTCTTCCTGGTTAAAATTTACTTAATTATGTATTTTTATAATTATGAAAAATCAATAAAGTGATTTCTATTTTGAAAAAGAGAAATTATAGTTGGACATTGTATTTTACCCCCAAAGCAACCAAGGAAAGATCTACTATATTCGACTACTTCCTATGATGTAGGCGGCAAACAATTCTGATTTAGTAGAAGCAAAACCCTGTACTAAAAAATATTACTGTCATGTAAGAGGATTGTCTTGAAAATTTGGGGATGAACATCACTTTGGATTAAATGTACTAAATAAAAAGTGCTTTTTAAGCAGCCAGGTCCAGAAATAAAAACAAAGATAAAGGCTGAGGGAAATGCAAGAAACAGAGCATGGAAGCATGAGAACATCAAGAGCCCTGCTAAATGTTTCCCATGGTAGCCCAAAGGAGTAGACAACTTACCCTGGTTTTTAGAGATGGTTTTTGCATGTCTCTTTCTAAGTCTTTTGTTACAAGGATGTTAGGTAATGCGTTCTTACAACTGGCCTCCTATAAAAGAAGTATAAAAGAAATATTAGAAACCAAAGAACATTACCCTAACTGGAAATTACAATGCAGTAAAAAGCAATTTTTATGGGAGACAAGGCATTTCTGGATTGAACTATTTATATCAGAGTGACTGACATTTGTCATGAGGAATCAAAATAATTCCTTTCTTATTTTTCACCTACAACAGCGAAGTAAGGTAAGATGGTGATGGAGTAGGTGTGGGACACACAGAACATATATATTCAGAGATGACTGTTGAGAATCTCATCTACACTCTGTCACTTACACAACCACAGACAGCCCCCCTCTTCTTTAGAGAATTAGGTAGTTAATTCTCCAAGATATCAACCACCAAACTTAGAGTTTCCTTTTCCTACCACTTTTTACAAATGGGTTCTGATTATGTAAATACTTTTTCTTAAACAAATTCCTTCACATAGTTTAGCAAACCACTATTGAACAGTGATAGTTTCATACAAACATCCTAACTGAGGAAAAGTATCTGAGTATTTGTTTCCAAAATTACTAAGCTTCAGTCCTTGGTTCACACAAAAATAGTACTTGCAAAGCTAGCAGAAATTACAAGAAGGCATTTACTATTTCTTTTTACATGATAAATAAAAACAATAATCTCATTTTAAAAAATACAATGTAGGGCCTCACTTACCAATAGCCACTAATTTGGATAAATTTTCCATAAGTGATTTCATTGCCAAATTAAGAGAGATAAATATATATAAGGAAGATTACAGACAACAATAAAACTAAGGAGAAAGTAAGTTCAATTTCTTTCACTTGCTCTATAACCTTGACCTCTGTAACATGTTTCTTCCCTTATTTTTTACCTACTACAGTGAAGCTGCCCACCATCCATCACTGCATTATCTAAATCATGGATTTTTCCCCCCATTTACCTAAGGGTTAATTAATTATAGTCTTTTAAACAATATTTTAGTCAAATACTTTACAATATTACTGAATTTTGCTGAAACTTCTTTATTTCTAAAGAGAACAGTATATTATTAGGATAAAATGTCCCTAAAGAAAATACTACTACTACTTGCTACTAAAAAATACTTACTGAATCTTGGGATGTATGAGGCACTATGCTAAAGTCTTTGCATTAATGCCATTTTTGCCCCCTCCATAGCCCTATTAGGATTAGGTACTATTATCATCATTCATTCCCCTTTTAAGGATAACATAAAATCTACAGAAGTTAACTAACTTGCCCAACATCACACGGGACTCAAAGATAGCTCTGTGTAAACTTATGAACTCATATCACCTTTAAATGATATCTCCAATATCCAATACACTTGACATCTTAAGCCACTAGGTTGTAGAGCCATAACATTTTAAAACCAAAAGAGCTTTTAAAAATCAGCTAGTCTGCCCCACTCCTCTAATTTTACAGATGGGGACTTGAGGACATCTGAGGTGATGTGCCCAAGATCACAGAGAGTGGCAGAGCTGAGACCCGTGCCTGGACCATAAGGCTGTACGTTGCACCTGTTCCTAGCTTTGTGCTAGGGAGAAATGTGACCAGACTCGGAGGGGATCAAGAGCCTCCTCTAAGCTGGGGGTAGCTGTGGGACTGCCAACACTCCCAGCTGCCTGTGGCCTCACGTACAGCTCTATGGAAGGACCCAAGGGTACATTTCTGAACTCTCCAAATAAGCCTGCATTCCAGTCCTACGCTTTCCCACAAGTCATAACACCTGCTGGCGGTAAGCTGCTTACTGGAAATAGTGAATGAACCCATTCCCACTTCTGACTCACTGTGAGAGGGATAAACTATATCCAGCATGACATTCAGGAGATCCAAGTGATTAACTGTATAATCTATTGCGTAATTTGACCACACTGGATAATATAATTATGCTTAATCCTTATACCCCCTTTTAAAACTACTGGGATGTAAATGTTAGAATGTGATGAGAAGAAAAAAGGCTGACTCTCAAGGGAAGCTAACAGGAATCGCTGACCTTTGTTTATGATTGTCTGAGTGTTTACAAATGCCTACAATTCTTTTTTCCTTATGCATAGGCTAAAAGGGACAGTGTTTCTTTATTACTCTTACTCCCCCACCCTGTCCCTGTGAATCAATGAGTACAAGGTTGATAGCTAGCTTTTCCCTATAAAACTTTGAAAACCTTTTCTGTAAACTTTTATCTGAAAATGCCACTTAGATGAATTATGTTTATTTTTTGTTTTAGGATGTTACATTCAGACAACAGAGATTAAGTAAAATTTAGTAGTCAGGGCACTCAAGTGGCAGTCAAGAGATCTGACTTCTCATCCTGGTTCTCTAACCAACCAGCTATAGGAACTCAGGCAGGCATTTCAACCTTTTGGACATCCCTTGCTTCAAAGATTTCTAAAACAAAGGCACTGGATTAGGTGAGCTCCAAGAAACTTTTCTGGGTCTTAAATTTCAAGATTTTCGGATTCTTTCAAGAAGAAGCAATATTTGTTGACAAAAAGGTAACCCACGACCTGTTCAGAGTTGCATTCCCAATGCCCCATGAGACTGCTGCAAAGTGCTGGTGTCCACCCAGGGGGCTCCGGGGCCACAGAGGGAACATCTCCTGCAGGGCTAATGTTACTCAAATTTCTGGAGAAAAATTAATACATTCCACTAGTAGCTTAAATAAGTAACTGGAAATAATTTCATGTATTTTTTTAAGACAGATATATTATGGAGTTAAGTGAGAAACTTTTTTTTTAAGATTTTATTTATTTATTCATGAGAGACAGAGAGAGAGAGAGAGAGAGAGGCAGAGGGAGAAGCAGGCTTCCCGCTGAGCAGGGAGCCTGATGTGGGACTCGATCCCAGGACCCTGGGATCATGACCTGAGCCGAAGGCAGATGCTTAACCATCTGAGCCACCCAGGCGCCCAAGTGAGAAACATTTTTAAGGTAAAACTTTTTTACAGTTATACCTTTATAAAGCCATTTACACTGGTGGGTATATATTTAAGAGAATTAAAAACAAAGGTCCAAACAAAAACTTGTAGACAAATAGTCATAGCAGCATTATTTATAACAGCCAAAAGGTGGAAACAACCTAAATGTCTATGAAACAATGAATGGATAAAGGAAATATGGTATAACTCACAATGGAATATTACTCAGCTATAAAGAGGACTGAAGTATGGATACCTGCTAAACATAGATTAACTTTGAAAACATCACGCTAAGTGAAAAAAGCCAAACATAAACAGACATATATATTGTGTATATAAATAGACATATATTGTGTGATTCCACGTATATATTGAATGTCTGGAATAAGGCAAATAGTGACAGAGTGGTGGCTAAAGGCTAGAGGGAGGGGAGGGATTCCTAATGGGTCCAGTCCATATGGGTTTTTTTTAGGGTGACAAAAATGTTCTGGAATTAGGTAATGGTTGCACAACTTTGTGAACATTTTTTTTTTTTAAAGATTTTATTTATTTTTTTGACAGAGAGAGACACAGCGAGAGATGGAACACAAGCAGGGGGAGTGGGAGAGGGAGAAGCAGGCTTCCCGCCGAGCAGGGAGCCCAATGCGGTGCTCGATCCCAGGACCCTGGGATCGTGACCCAAGCCGAAGGCAGACGCTTAACGACTGAGCCACCCAGGCAGCCCCTTTGTGAACATTCTAAAACACAATAAATTGTATATTTTAAGCAGGTTTATCTTATGGCATGTGACTAATATCTTTTTTTTTTTAATAAGTCATTTAAATCCCCACACTCCCAGGGCAAAGGAAGAGACCTTGAGTTTGCTTGAACTCCTCCTTTAGAACTGCTTTGAAATGATTTGTGTTTGTTAAGTATTAAAGTGTATGTGGGCATAAAAATTCACTCAACAAGTATTAACTGAACCCTATCGTGTGTGGCATTCCAATGCTAGTCACTGGAGAAGGTAATGATAAACACATCAGACCCGATCACAGGGTATATTTATATTTGAACACTTCATCTGCTTAAATGACTTAATTGATTGCTCACTCTAATGACTTTTGTGCAACAACCAATTGCTTAAACCAGCTGTGTCACCTTGGTATCCTGAACACACCATTTAAAAATACAATAGGGAAGGAAAAAATACTTTATCACAGCTTTGTTGGCCTTCTATTCAACTACTAATGACATGAAAAAACGGACAAGTACTCAATGTTTCTTTAGCAGAGCACACTACTCCCACAGTTATTCACAGGCTTGTTCCTCATTTTGTCCAGGTCTTTGTTCAATTTCACTAAAGAGGATTCCCTTCCTGGAACACCTTATCTAAATTGCTACTGCTCTCCCCTCCCACTTAATGCGCTCTCTCTCCCTACTCTATATTTCTTCATAGCCATCAGCAAAATATGACTTTAATACTTACTGATTCTAAAACTGATGGTTGCCAGAGGGGAAGGAGTGTGTGGTTGGGTGAAATAGGGGAAGGGGCGTGAGAGATACAGGCTTCTGGTTATGGAATGAATGGGAGTATAAGTCTCAGCATAAGGAATATAGTCATTGATACTGTAATAGTGTTGTATGAGGACACGAGGTAGCCACAATTGTGGTGAACATAGCACAGTGTATAAACTTGTCGAATCACTATGTTGTACACTTGAAACTAACATTGTGGGTCAACCATACTAAGAAAAAAAAATTAAAAGAAAATACTGTTTCTCATTCTTTGTTCATCTCACCCTCTTCTGTGAGAGGACCGGGTCAGTCTTGCTTATGAATAGATCCACAAGGCTAGAACCATGAGCCCCTACTAGAAGCTAGTAGGGGCTCAACTGCTGAACTGAATGGGTAAACCAAATGATTGAGTAATATCCCTTTTCTAACCTTTCACAATCCCCTGGGCATTCTTCCTGTTTTCAGTTCTCTCCTTAATCAGCTTACATTTCATGATTCTTCATTCCTTTGCTAATACACTTAATTTTCTTCATCCTGTTTCTAATCATTGTATTCATCTGGAAAAAGTACAACCTTGGACAAATCCAGCTATATGCC